GGATTTCACTGGATGAATATCTGGGCGATAAATGCACGGGTGTTGTAGGTAAATTAGCGACTGGCATATTAGACATGGCTGCTATTAAAAATCCGACGGCATGTTTCCATGCGCTTGTATCTCATGGCTGTGCCCAACAAAAACGCTTTGCGTGACCCTGAAATCTTGAGAGCGGATCTGCATACGACCATAGCCGAACCCGATGTTGAACATCGAAATCTCAAGGCCTAAGAGACTGCCATGTTTTAATATTCATCGGCAACTAATTTCTATTTAAACTCCAGTAGACATGTACCTATTTTCAAATTGTGAAAAGAGATACTTTTAACTAGTAAATTTAAAAATGGTAAAAGAAGGACTAGTCTTAATATAGTAGGGTAAACTGTTAAAAAATGTCCTTGCTGTCGGACACGTTACAATGGTTGGTCAGACGAGCATAATATTTTGGATGGTGAATCTGTTCAAACCTTGATGGCACGAAATTAGAAACCAGGGTCAGGTCATTCCTACACACACTAGTTACGTCTAGGCTTTCAGCTATTATACTGTGTTTGTTAATTTATAAAATCTGACAGTTTATTAAATTATGTGTAAGATTGGCTGGCGTGTACTCTTGTCTCTATTGTCTCTATATTGGTCACCGAGTGCTCGAGGATGAATTTGGAGATGTGCCAAGAAGATGAGTCAAAGTTTTTCAAAAGACTGACCAATTTGGTCTAAAATGGCCTCTGGGTTTTGCAGTGTGGGCTACACACCTATACCATATCAGCAGCCAAGTACCCCCCCCCCCGGGGGGCTGATTACACAGGATGAAAGTTGGGTCCATCAATATGATCCAGAGACCAAAGCCCAGTCAATGCAGTGGAAGCACTTGGACTCACCACCTCCATCCCCGTTACACCCTCTGACTTTCATCTCTTCCCATCCATGAAGTTGTTTCCCAGATGATCCAGCTTTGATTTCCGAAGTTACGACGTGGTTGGAGGACCAACTTGGGGTTTTCTATACAAACGGTGTCCAGTACTGCATCAAACGTTGGGAGAAATGCATAACTCTGGGTAGTTCCTATGTAGAGAAAGACTAATAACTGTGCCAAGTTTCTTTAGTCTCCTGCTATGGGAAATGGGTCAGGGGCATTACTTATTGAACGCCCCTCGTATACACATATTCCTCCGGCGGTTCACAAGACCTTGCAACATTTTGGGGTCAAAGTCAAGAATAAAGTACGTGTTTATGAATGTTTTTTTTAGAACTACAGCTTCAAACTTGGCGCATATGTTACATATGAAATTCACAAAACCTGGATAAATTTGTGTTTGTACATTATACACCACAATAGGCGAATGAATCAATAATTGCACAAGTTTCCTGTTTGGCTAACATAGTATGCTTACAGTTTCGGGTCAAATGTCAAGGTCATACTATAGGTTTCAGTATATTCCTAGTAAAATGAATACTAAGGAAATTTAAATTGAATGTAGGCTGGCATCTCCTATGAGCTTTGATTGCTATCTAGTTTTGTATGCAAATTATTTGCCACATTTATATGCAAACTAGTAGTTTTCAACTAGCGTTAATTTTTGTTCCATTTGTAATAGTGTAGATTTCTGTAGAATTACAATTCAAAACCTCACTGTTGTGGATAGAATGTTATAAAGCACACAAAAGGCCATTAACTACAACTAACAGCTCGTACTGAAAAGATCCTGGAATTTTAGATATTAAAATATTGTGGCATTATATTGGGCACTGGATCCTGGATCAAGTTTATTCATGGAGCCACAAAATTCAGTCATCACCAAATTCTCACAAAATACAACGAACATGTTTTGCGTGTGTCATATATTAAATTTTATTTTTAAATATATTACTACACCAGTAAAATACACATAATGTAAATGAGATTGTTCTGTAAAACTAAGTCCTTTATTTAACGAATAGTAAAATTGAATAGTAAGTGAATTTGGATAGGTATAGATGCGCCCGATTTGTTTATTAATAGTAATTACACAATACACTTGTATTTAAAATATTCAAACCTTTTGCACCCATCAAATTAAATACCTAATCTACTCCACTTAATTATGATTCTCCCAAATTCAAATGCTCTCAAAATCAATTGCGTATTACCAACAAATTTGATGTGTTTCTTGCAAATATAGTACTTTTGAAATAAAAACAAATACATACGTCAATCGGCTTACTCTGTGGTATACGTACATCGAATTATCCGTCTAAAAAGTCAGGCTGAATTTATCTATGTACATCTGTGAATCATCTATTTCAATTGCAAAAAAAAAACGTTTTATACATCAGGAATGTTGCATTACACTAACCAACTGTTAACCATGTCCCGTTTGATATAATTTCAATTAACAAATCCAATTGCCGAATGATAATATAATAATTTAATTTAGCAATAGTAAATACTCTGATAATCTGATAATTAAATTTCTAACATAATTACAAGAATTGTATTTCACAAGCTATTCTATTATAACATGTCTCTTCGCCTGCAATTGAACATCGAATAAACAAAACAGATATACTGAGACATATATCGACTAATCTTGATATTTAATTCTGCAAGCACCCGTTTTTTTTATTAAGACATTCCACTGAATGCACTGATGGCAATATTCACACTAATGACGAGGAAATTCAAAATGCCGCTTAGTATATTCAAGTCATCAGCTTCTTCTTTTTCTTCTTCGTCATCCAGGTTCTTCTGAGCAGATGCAAACATGAGAAGACCATTGGTTATCTGCATAACAACTGACAGGCCCAGTAAAACCATTTCAATAATGAAGAAATCATCGCGGTCCGTTGCTGGCAGTTCGAGAAGTCGCTTCAGAAGACTCAGGTTTCTCGTTAGAAGAACGAAATCTGTCATCCCGTGTGTCGTGTTCTTGCTTTTAGCGAAGTTGTTAGCGTTGTATTTCTTCTTCTTTCCTCCGGGACGCAGACCACTTGATCCTCCACCTCCAGCCGCAGGACTTGCTGTCCCCGCTGTGGTTACTGCCGGTGTGGCTGCAATATTTGGCTGATGAAACGAAAAATAGATTCATAAACAACATGGCGACAAAAGGTATGCATATTTCACACGTACCGACAACAGATATGTTTGATATTTTTCTACAACATATTCTGAGATGATGAACTAGTTGGGTTACTTACTTCAGTTACTACTTCTGTCATTGTTACCACGTATTATACCTGACCAAAAGAAGATGTGATTTATTTTACAGTATGGAAAAGGCAGCTGTTGACCTGAAATGCGTAAATACTACACCACAGAATATATCCTCCTACACACAATGTGTGGGATGACCACACCCTTTATGGATGATACTTATGTTAATTATTGTTGTTTACTGCGTCGTCATAACACCAGCAGTCAATGATGCTGGTAGGTCCTGTACTCTGCAATGAATAGTAGTTATCAAGACTCAATAGTCGTTGATACGGCAATATTGAAATAACATAACGGAGATTGATGTTTTATATATTTCGTTATGTTTGCGTGCATATTGCATCGCTATAATTGACCTAAAATATGAAGCATGAATTATGAAATTATTCAACTTACCATACACACGTCAAACGTAATGAAACAGGTACAGATTTCGACTGAATTTACCCTATTTCCCCGACACAAATTTACTAATCATTAACATCCACTACGATTTATATATGCAAGCACAACTAGAGAACAAAACATTAAATTATATCCGTTGCCCTTGCAATAAATCGGAAAAATAGTTTTAAAACTGGCAACATTATTTTCTCTAAATAATATTGGAAGCAATTGGTACATTACCTATGTTGCACTGTCATTCATGGTATTTTATTTAAGAGAGTTTCCAATTGTTCAATGTCATAGCCATACTTACTTAAAATTACCAGACATGACTAATTTTTTTATTCAGGGTTATGCATGATGTTAACCTAATTCAAATAATAATTATTTTGTGAATTGCTTATCATATTTAAAAAAAAAAATGATTGCAAAATTAGGATATTAATTTGATGTTCGATAATAAATAGACAATACCGAAAACATAACATCGCATGGAAAGTTCATACAACATGTATCTTCAAATCTCGCACCTTATAGCGGAGGGGCATAACTCTCACAAAGCCATATGATTCAGGTATCCTCGGGGGCGGACATCCGGGCATTTTCTACCGCCTGGCAACCTTCGCGGTGAAAACAAAGACCAAAAACTCACAGAAAACGGTACTTTGCGATGGTTGTTGAGAGTGCCCTGAACAGTGTAACAAGATTAGCCCTACGTGTGTAACATATATGAATTTGGTTGTTCAGGATTACTTCAAAGTTGAGTTTGTGTTGTTTTCTCGAGTTTTCACCGGCTCCACCGGCGTTCCACAGCAGCGCGCACAAAGCCCATAGAAATACGTGGTACAGTGGTGCGCGTCTTAGCAACGTAGAACGTCCGTGACGTAGCTCCGCCCCCGAGGATAGCTGAACAATAAATTGTAGAAGCGCCTTCTATGGCGATTATATGAAATACTTACACCAGATTAAACTTTGGGCAGCATTTTTTATCTAGTATATATTTTAATTTGGCCTTTTAAATGTATATGCTATTATACACTAGTAGCTTCGCGGTAACTGGCTTTCGCGGTAAGTGGGTTTCGTATTGGGTGGGTCTCGCGGGGAGTAGGGCTTTATCGCAGTAACTGGTTGTTGAGAATTAAAGTTTTATGTTTCTTGCGCTATTCTGGGAATACCATCCTCAGAAGCTATTAATTTGCCCTTATGATTTGTGATGTTGCTCTGGCAGGAGTTCCAAAATAAGACCCATGCTCTGATAATGCCCATAGTTTCAAAAACCAAGAAACATTATCATTATGATCTTATTGCAAAGGATAGTTGAATATTGTTTATTAAATTAATAATCCCCATAACCGTTTTTCAATATAGGTAAATTATATAATGTTTATTGTCTTTTTAGGCCACAGGCCCATATGACT